TTCAATTGATGTACAAGGATTTCTTGGGAATAATAATAAATTTATTCTAAAAGAAATTGGAGTCGTATTCAAAAACGAAACAATCTTGAATTCTAGTTTTATCATACACTCTCCACATGATTTTGTTGAATGGAATAAAAAATGTAGAAAAACAGCCACTTGGCTAACAAAACAACATCATAAAATTTATTGGAATGATGGAGTATACTTTTTCAAAGAAACACAAAAATGTATTTAAGAGAAATAATTAGAAAAAAGGAAATAGTTTGTGAGGGATACCAAACAAGATTGTTCCTACAAAAATTTTTAAAAATTGATGATGTAATTAGCATTGATGGAATTTGTTGTCCCTCCTTAAAACTAATGGATGGAAATCACTTTCCATATTGTTCATTACATGCTCGGGATGGTGTCTGCTCTCTCAACAATGCTCATAAAATCTTAAACATTTACACAAACGAAAACTCCTAAACACCTTCTCACCATTCATTCACATTTTGAGAGTCGGGAAAATAAGTTTACGAAATGACAGATTGTAGTAACAATCTTATTATACCGACTTATTCTTCTTAAGTAAATAAAATTAATTTTTTTATTAATACATTTGGAAATATGATTTCAAAAGAGGACTTACTACTGGAGTCAAGGAACATGTTCATGGGTATTGACGTAAAGGAGTTTATAAAAACAACATTTGGAGAACATTTAAATTTATGTAAATTTTCTAATGATAATATAGAAACTTGTGCTTGTTTTCATTTCTAAAATAAAGAGAAAGCCCAAAAAAAAAATTTTCTATTGTTTTGAATTTGCTTTCGAGGGTGGGTCTATCATCAACTGTTGTATTTTTTAACATCTGTCTTCTAAGTATAATACAATGATTTATCTCTACCAAACTTTAGTTTAAGATAAACATTCAGACTATTACGTTGAAAGAAAAAAATGATTTCCTCAAAAATGAAAGAGTTCTTAAAGGAGTATGGAAATGAGATCTTCAAGGCACATGTTACGAAATTGAAATCATTTCATACATTTTTTAAAGATGTAGAAGCCACCCCAGTAATTTATTCCAAGTACGGAGAGCACCTATCATCCTGTGCATGGGCATATGATGATTGTAAAGTTGGACCTGACACTTGCAAGTGTATGCATGTTGAAAAGAAAAATGAAGATGATTTAAAATTGATAGAAAGATACATTAATTTATTTAAAAAACTCATTGGAAACTAATTTAACACGAATATGATTAAATAAAAACGTATTTGACTAAATAAACGATCTCATTTGTTTTTGTGTATATTCTGTTAGGAACTACCACCATTACCACCTCCACCTCCACTAACTTAATACAAGTTAGAAGCAACATACTTTAGATATTTATGCTCACTTTCCCATCTAATGCTCACTAAAGAGGAGGAGGATATCGAACTCACGCTTGTTTCACACCACAAAAGTATGCGGTCTAATATCCCTCAAACCAACACCTTTTGACCAGAAGACCGTAGACAGGTTACACTAACAGATGTCATCTACAACCCTAATTGAATCAACAAAACGTCCACGCATAATAAAACAACTTCCCCTCCTCCTCCTCCTCCGCCTAAATATAGTTTTACAAATTCCTACGCATGACAAAACACCCCTCTCACACTCCTACACAACCTATTCGGGTACACAGTACAGGACAGGTTGGTGAAGGCGGTTGCATAGTCGAGAACGCTCTGAAGTTTTGTAGTTTAAAGTCAGTGTAGCGACGGTCGTTACCTATAAAGTGAACTGTGTATAGTGAGAGACACTCCGGGACTAGAGGTACGTACCAGGGCACTGTTCCGGCCAGTGCTGAACAACGTGGGGCGTAGCAGCTTAACAGCGTGGATCCCCACGCTTAACAGCACATAGTGTTGGAAAGCGCCATAAACGCGGGCCCTCTCTGTGTTTTGAATATTCGAAATTCTCCAAACTCTGGACCTGGATACAGGGACGGCAAAGGGCTGAAGGCCAAGGATCGGGCTAAATTCCAACCCTTCCGCCGCGACGGATGCCTATCAAAAGGGGCACTGGGGACCGAAAAGGGTCGGTATATCCCCCGTCGTAAGCCAAGAAGAAATCTGTGGTCAGCGCGGGAGCGTCCCTCGAGCAAGCCGGGAAGCCTGAGATGAAGGAGGCTGAAAACGCTTTTGTGGGCAGACCAGTAGTGGTAAGATCTCCCCGCCATCCGAGGGAAGAGGGAACCGATGGAGCTGCAGCGGCATTTAGGAGGGGCAGCAAGCTCGCCCGCTCGCCGGCACCTTCGTCAACCCAAGTTGGTGAGCTGATTGGAGATGCTGAGGAAGTGAAGGAAACCCCTAAGCGGACGCGTGATCCTGCAAGCCCAGCAAACGCGCAGAGGACAACGCCGGCCAAAAGGAGCAAGGCCTCCCACGAGGCAACCTGCCTTGAGGATCTCTTGGAGCTGTGGAAGCTCCTGCAGGAGATGTCCACCAAGATGATGGACAAAACGGCACGCCATATAACCGTAGCCACGAGAGAGACGTTCGTGCGCATGAAGGCGCTTCACACGAGCATCCTAGAGGCGAACAGAGGGGGCGGCAAGGACGACAGCATCAGGGAGAACGGCCTGATGCTGATATCGTGTGCTCGAAATGCTCTCGAAGCTTGCAGAGCGCCGATAAGGAACAGCAGACAACGCCCGTCTGGAGGAGAGATGCTGCAGCGCAAACGGAGCCTTGACGAAGGATAAGCCAGCCGACTGTGGCTGGAGTATCCGCAGCTCAACTAGCCCCACCATCCACGCGCCGAACGAGCACCCGAATGAACCCTCCAAAAGGGCCACAAGAAAGACAGGCGACGCCCGCTGGCGCCAACTGGAAATGACGAATACAACCTGGAAAATTCCTCATGTAACTCCGAGCGATTTTGCAAAAAAATTAAGATGAAATTGGTGTAAACCTACAAATCGCATTCCGGAGTTGGTCTTTATATGCTAACCCCAAATTGGGGTATGGGAGTCAACACAGCTGGAATGTGAAATTGTCGGCTAACCGCGAAAAACCAAGATTTGTAATAATTGGATTTATACTTAATGGAGAACTTATCACAAATAATTTATCAAACTTGAAAGTTCACTTGAATTCTGAGTCATATTCATATGATAATCTGAATGTTGATTTTAGTAAGAATCAGTATGCTCACCTTTATGAAATGTATACAAGATTTCAATCTAGTTACTATAATCGTCAATCACAACCACTATTATTGTGGTTGATTTTTCATAGTAAGACGAATCAGTGAAAACTGGTCCTATTGACGTGAGAATTTCAATAGAACTGAAGACAAGAAAGTCATACAACCACCATATGATTTTACTTTTCTAAATACAAAATCTCGAAAGACTGCAATTTGGTTAACCAATACACTTCACCAAATTTTTTGGAACGATGGAGAAAACAGTTTTTCACAAACGCGAAAGTATTTAAGGACAATTACAAGCGGAAAACAAATTATTTGTAAGGGAATGGAAAACAAATGATTTCTACAGACGTTTTTTGGGAGTCGTCAACTCAATAATATCGGGGAAATGGGCCTTCCGTCATAAAACAGGTTTAAAAGAAATCGGTTTCCCTATTGTGATGCACACCTTCAGGGCGGTGTTTGTACCCTTAACAATGCATACATTTTTTTGCCATTTTTTAAAAGGAGTTTCAAAACAATAACATAATTTGTATACATCATTTTAAAGTTGAGAGTAGATGTGTAAAGATCAACAAGAAATTAATAAAATGAAATGTCATGATGAAATTGACCTATTTATTGAACAATTTAAAGGACAGATAATTGGTCAGCATTTTCAATACTTTCTAAACACTAAAACTATGTTCATGAATCGAGGTGGACATGATCTCAAAACTACGAATTATGGTGAACACTTTACATTTTGTAATCCTGAATTGACGTCCGAAACGTGCTCCTGCCTCTTTTATGCAAATCGCCGTAACGAAGCCAGAAAATAAATTTTAATATATAAAATAACATGTTCGCAATACAAACATAAATGAATAAATGTATTATTATGCTACAGAATAAACTTCTGACATTTTATTTCGAGTTAAAATTACAGGTACGGAAAATGAAAAATATTTCCTTGAGTGAGATATGTCGTCTACTTGCGAGTTGTTGCGCGGTCGGGACGTATTAAATCTAGTAGTCAGTCGTGAGGTCGTTAGCGTGATCTTGTCAATGGGCGTGCGCCTTCGGGCTTATGCATGTGTCCCTTTTATTCCGGTTAGGTAATGGACAGGTACGCATGTTCGGGTAGCTCTTGCTTTCCCCTTATGACATGTTTATGACCAGTTTGTGGAAAGGAGAGATCTTAGACAATTCACCAGTTAAACGTTCTGGGGCGAAAGAAAATGTTTGTTTGAAATGTTTCTTTTGATTTCTAAATTAGTTTTACAATCACAGGAAACGTTATTCCCCAACTTGATAGGACATGTTCCTCTAAGGCGACCATCTTTAGATGTTTTGGGCTTGCGACCTTTCTCACGTGCACAGCAACACCTGCTGAATATTAATTGCTGATAATGAGGGAAAGGATATATGATCAATATTGTCACATGGGCATGTGGGAAAAGTGTGCGACCTTTCTCCCGGGTACAGCAACACCTGCTGAATATTATTTGCGTATAATGGGGAAAAAGGTCACGTGATCACTATTGTTACATGGTGGTGTGGGAGTGGGGGCAATTTAGTATACTCTTTATGGCATTTTTATGGCATCTAAGCCTTTTAAAATCAGTTAATTTATGGATTATGCTAATTTACCCACAACCCGCATACATTAGTGAGAAGGTGGGGGCCATTAATATGCTAATTAGTGAGGGGCGGGATCATTAATATGCCAATCAGTACGGGGGCGGGGTTCATTAATATGAAAATTGTCCCCGGAATCCGTATTTCCATACTACTAGCTTAAAAGCTTAACAGAGGGAAGATCATTTTTTTTCCGTTTCCTTTTCGCGTGAACGTCCAACATGAGAACCAAGGGATTGTTGAAGGAGTACGAGGTCGTGGGCCGCAAGCTGCCCAGCGAGAAGGAGCCCCAGACGCCGCTCTACAAGATGCGCATCTTCGCTCCCGACAACATCGTGGCCAAGTCCCGTTTCTGGTACTTCCTGCGCCAGCTGAAGAAGTTCAAGAAGACCACCGGCGAGATCGTGTCCATCAAGCAGGTGTACGAGACGTCGCCCGTGAAGATCAAGAACTTCGGCATCTGGCTAACTTGAAATCCAAGTTAACAGATTAACAGAAGATGAAATAGACCAATGAAAGAGTTTAAGAATGGGCTTACAAATAGTTCGGGCACAAAACTTAGGCACACACCCAGGTAGTACATCTGGCCCCGGAGAATAGGTTAGCGTTATAGTTTCTAAATCACTTAAAAGAGAATTTTCGGTAATTACAGGAGAAACAAAAAAGAACGCTATAGTGAGTACCTCGACTATCAGATACCCGTTACTCAGCTAAAGGGACCAAAGGGAAATGGAGATATGCAAGCAGCAAATCGAGATTAAAATACGCCACCTACCGGCGGTAGACAGATTTAAGCGTTATGGGCGTTAGAGTGGGCATGGCAAATTTTTTTTTTGATCAATCGATAGGTATTGACGAGACCAATACATTACAGTTAAAATCTTTTATCTAGCATGAAAACTGTGGGCGTCACAGGCTTGGGCGGTTTGTGGGCGTTAGAGTGGGCGTGGCAATCGTGGCAATTGGGTCAATCGATAGGTATTGATGAGAGCAATACACTTCTGTTAAAATTTTTATTCTAGCATCAAAACTGTAGGAGCCACAAACAAACTTACGCTGTGTAAGAAGCTCAGGAATCTGCACGCCAAATCTCAATAGCCTAGCATTTATAGTTTCCAAGATCTCAGCGTTCATCCGGACAGACGGACAGACGGACAGACTGAGATGGCTAGATCGACTCGGTTAGTGATTCTAATCAAGAATATATATACTTTATGGGGTTGGAAACGCTTCCTTCTTCCTGTTACATACTTTCCGACGAATCTAGTATACCCTTTTACTTTACGAGTAACGGGTATAAAAATACAATTTTCCCTGTTTAAGTGATTTGGGTAGCTAGAATTAGAGCAAGAAACAGAACTATAAGTAGATTGGAAGAATTCAGCAAATAAATCTGCAATTTCGGGATCCGTAGATGCCTCAATAAAGTTTATTCGTACTGATGATGGCAATGCTCAAGACTTTCGCTTAGCATGAACAAAGTTATAAAACTGCCTCGGATCTTTTGAAAATTCAAATTTACATCGGTTAAAATACATGGAATAGCAATGAGTGTTAAGAATCTTGAAAAATCGGATGGCCTACCCGACTTTAATACTAACGAATGCTATATCATTGCGATTAATAAAGTATAGGCAATCAGCACCCCACCCCCCTAACGAGGAGAGTGATGAGTTCTATACGTACTTAAACTGTTCCACAGAACTTCAGAGTCTGATATCTCCAGTTTCAGACAGGTCTCAGTAAAGGCCAAAATGTTTTCAGAAACGGCGTAGGAGCCAGCATAAAGCTTAGGTAGCTTCATATTAAGTCCTCTAACATTTTGATAGGCCAAAAATAAACTGCTCATTTATTTGGCACAGGTACTACCTTGGAAGGCCTATTATTAGTTCTCCGTCTGTTTGGAAGAAATTCTTTAAAGACCAATTCATCATTAAGCCAAAAACTTTTAGAATTTAGTACATTAAATACTTGAGGAGGAGCAAATATCTTAAATGATGATATCCTACGAACATATGATAATTTAAACTCCTCCACTGTGATGTTTTGAGGTGTTAAACGAGACACAAATAATTGCTTCCTATATGTAATAACCGAGACTCTCTTTCTTCCGTCACCAAGAATCTGAATATCGTTCGTCAGATTATCGAGACCAGGGACTCCTATAGAGCTATCTTCACCTGTGGGCACAGAAAGCTGCGTCGTGTTTGACCCCTTAGGCCGACTAGAAGAAACAGGAACTCCTCCAGAGCTTTTGGTACCTATGGGTACCATGGCAATGAAGCTTTAGGTCCCTAGCGCCAGTGGATGCCGACATAGCTGCCGTTATCGGGTAAAAATATTTGAAGCTAAGTTAGGGCTTGGGACTAATGCCTTTACTTCAACAGGTTTCAAAGGAGCGGTCTTTTTGCGTTCAGGTGACCCTACTGACAATTTAATACCCGTTACTCGTAGAGTAAAAGGGTATACTTGATTCGTCGGAAAGTATGTAACAGGCAGAAGGAAGCGTTTCCGACCCCATAAAGTATATATATCAGGATCAGGATCACTAGCCGAGTCGATCTAGCCATGTCCGTCTGTCCGGATGAACGCTGAGATCTCGGAAACTATGGGAGCTAGGCTATTGAGATTTGGCGTTCAGATTCCGGAGCTTCTTACGCAGCGCAAGTTTGTTTCAGCAGAGTGCCACGCCCACTCTAACGCCCACAAGCCGCCCAAAACGGTGGCTTCTACAGTTTTGATGCTAAAATAAAAATTTTAGCTGAAATTTGTTTTTCCAATCAATACCTATCGATTGACACAAAAAAAATTTGCCACACCCACTCTAACGCCCATAACGCTTAAATCTGTCTACCACCGGTAGGTGGCGCATTTCAATCTCGCTTTGCTGCTTGCATATCGACATTTCCCTTTGGTCCCATTATCTGAGTAACAGGTATCTGATAGTCGAGGTACTCGACTATAGCGTTCTTCCTTGTTTATTATCAAAGTCGGCCCTTAACTCTTTGAAATCAGTAACTACACTCATAAGTTTATCAAACAGTTTCTGAAAACGATCATTGATCAGCGCCACATAGCCATCCAAATCACGGTCTATTTCAACGCATGAAGGACAAGTCCACTAAAAACCAACATGCAGATCAATATAGTCTTTTACTCTGCCAACAAGTCGGATGTATGTCTATGTTGCAGAGACGACAGTAAATAAAAACGTCATTGGGTGACGTTCCAAGCTGACAATCTTTTTTGGAACAAAAGAGAGCCATTTTGTAAAGTATTTTAGTATAAGAAAAAAAAAGATTATTTATAATATTAAAATCCAAAAGAATTATAAATTCCTCACATAATTTGACACTGGGATCAAACACTAAAAATGTAGACACACAAGAACACAAAAATATAAGAGCGCGTAGAGACTGCGAGAGCGAGGGAGAGCAAGAGAGCGCGACAGAGTGGCTATCGACTGAGCGTGGCTTGCGAAACACAAACAAAATATACACGACAACAGCTTAAACGACAAGAAACGGGAGAGAGATTACAGAACGTTATGGGAAACAACAACAAAAGCTATTGAAACAAATGCACCACAGCGTAAAGAAGCTACATTAACAAAATGCACAGGCTAAAAACAGAGTTTGGTTTTGTTGCTACAATAAAATAGACAATTAAACATAACCAGACACAAGCACGGCTGGTTTTGTTGGACTAAGTCACAAAGCAAGGCACCAGTATCACAGATATTAATGACAAACTGACAAAAATCACAGAGCACAAGATAACACAAGCGACGCCAGCGATCACAAGCGACGCTAAATCCAACCCAGCAACGGAAGAGTGACCAAAGCAACAACGCGCGGAGAGAATCACCAACCTCGGAATGCGAGCGTTCCAAGGCCAAGCGATTCACTTTATAGGTGAATAGATACCCTGTTGGAAGAAAACAATCTGGACCAATTAAACGAATTGGAATGAGCCGTCGGTGGGAAGAATCTACACCTCGGACCCCCAAAGGGAATATCAAATATGCTGCCAACTTAGAAGATAAAGGAGCTCTAAAGGCAGACCCTTTATACTGGCCAAGAAAAGTTCCGAACTAAATTGTCTTCGCTTTGACAAAGAAAATCCCAAAAAATCGAATACTCTCGAAATCACTATTGAACTTATCATCGGACCCCTCGCAGGTCTTAATAACTCTTCTTCAAGACCAGAAATAATTTAGAACCCCTACAGGCTGACGTCACATAGAACTAACTGACTAAAGTACGAGAAGTACGTTAGTGCCCACATCGATTTAACTGCACAGCTCAACACCAAGAATGACATAAACTAATGGGCCGATTTCCTGAAATCAAGATACGACTGTGCGTAGCAACCATTACAAAACTAATCTGCAAGTCGAACAACTTGTTCGGGAAATACGACGTAACGACATTCGAAGCAACTTTTGAGAAACATTGAGAAATTATCGCCGACTAGTACAAGGCATACCTTGTGGAGAGCTCACATAAATTTAAGCTTTCCGGGTACTTGGGCCCGTAGCGACAAAGACAGAGCTGAAACCTTTGCCTAACACCTACGAAATGTATTTCAGCCAAACGCCGCCACAAACTCTTTCGATCTACCGTCGCTTTGAACTGACATTGCAAGACAGCCGATTATCTTTCGAACACGTGGAATAGTAAATGTCATAAGGGAAATCAAAAAAAAAGCTCCAGGAGGGGAGTTTATAGTCACAAAAATTATAATTGAACTTCCAAACTGTTCAGTGGGTTTTATATCCAAACGATTTAACGGGATCTCAAAATTTTGGTACTTCCAAAATAAATGGAAAAAGTCTGTTGTTATTATGATACCAAAGGCTAGGAATGATCACAATTACCTCATCGTACAGGTCAATAAGTTAATTATCGTGCCTGACAAAATTATTATAAATATGGCTTCTCACGCGCATAACACCATATCTTAGAGACCGGTACATCAATTCGGGTTCCGGAAAAGGCACGGTACCGTAGATCACGGCGCGGGAGGAAGGAGGCTGCAGTGCAATCATATAAGCGAAAAAGAATGAAGATCGTTTACCCAGGGTTTTAAAAACACTAGAGGGCACTTAAAGGACCAAAAAGTTGTGCACGTAACAGCGCTGTAAGTCTATCTGATTTCCCATTTGTCTACGACTAACTCTCGTGTCGCGAAACCCGTGCGCCTTGTTAGAATTTTCGAAGCGTATGCCTTTTTTAAGCGGTCATCTTAACATTTTATATTAACTTTTATTAATTTTCAATTTAAAAGCTGAGTAACGGGAATCTGATAGTCAAGATATTCGACTATTGCGTTCTCTCTTGTTTTTCTTGTATTTTGTAAACCGGTTCACCACGTACATTTTTTTGTGAATAGAAGTGAACAGATTACTTAAATGTCTATAAGTTGTGATCGACTGAAGATATGATGATACCTTTAATGCAAATCTGTAGAG